GTCCTTAGGAAACTGTTTCCTGACCATATGCTTACCGTTTCCTTACGCTCTCTTCCTTTTAGAAACATGTTTAAAGTCAAAGGTAAAAATTGAGAATGGATTTATTGCTGAGCCTGGATCTACATATCTCTTAAATCAAAGAGTAAAATATAAGTGCAAACAAGATTATGTAACAGAAGATGGTCAGACATCCGGGTCTATTACATGTCTCCGGAATGGATGGTCAGCTCAACCCAGATGCATTAGTAAGTCATTCATGACCACCAGTGGTGTCCGTTATTTTAATGGCTGATGAATGAATGTTTACTTTACTGATTTCTTTTTTGTGGGGTGGTGGAAGCTGACATAGTTCTATTTGAAAACACTAAATAAGAAATTTTTTAGAAAACATATGTACTTTTTTTATCGGTTACAGTAAATTACTAGTGAGGTAGATGTAAGTCCATCATTCAGTTCAAGGTTTATCCCCGTAAACCATCCTGCGATTTGCAAACTGCCTACGGGCCTGTGTGCATTCCGCTGTAAGCTCATCCATTGTGAGCTGAGGTCCTGCCCTGTTTACCTGTCTGCAGGTGATCAGAATTTCCTCTCAGAGTCTCAGTTCCTAGACATAAAAGTTAGGTTTGTAAGTGAAATGTGCGCTCACAGGACACAGGTTAGGGGAATGTCACTTGTGTGATTTATGTGTTCGGTGCTGCAGGGAAGCTCCTCTTCTGAGCAGCCACTTCCTCCAGGAAGCCTACAGGGATGTGCAGTGAGTGGAGACTGTGAGATGCTCCTACACAGCCAGCGTCCGCGGCAGGGAGGGAGCTCTCTGCTTGATGACTTCGAAGTTCATGAACATTCCCTAGACAGTTCGCTCATTTTGTCTCATTCATCCCAAAGCCACGCGGTGACAGTTTTCATTCACTTTAAGTGAAGGAGATATTTAAAATGTCCGTTCCTATTGTTTCCATTGCTTTCCATTTCCATACGTACCATGGGAACCAGCCAGAGCAAAAATGATGTTGTATCCATATCAGACTCATTTTATATTAAATTGTGGTCAACTGTTTATTAGAACACTGTTATTAGGAAAGAGGAAATGTGCTTATTATTTTTAGTATTATAGTTTTAGTTTCAATTTT